TTCACAATAATACCATCTTAGAAATATAATTAATAACTTATATTAAAACAAAAAGCAATTGCGTCAACAAAAAATATGCTAGAAATATAATGTTCTAGTATATTTGCTCAAATTTATATGTATGAATTTATAAATGGAATATAAAATACAAAAATTTCTTTTCTTCTTAGAAGTACTAGAAACAGTATCTATCCCCAATATGCCCTATATGCGCACTTTCCTCAATTTTTAATTAAAGAAAATACTAAATATTTCAATGTTCATTGGTCTTAAATTTATACCACACATTTTGCACCGGAAAAATTTCAAGTAAATTATTGAAATGCTTGAAATGGCTTAAAATGAATGGAATTCAGTCTGATTGGTTAGTAATACCAAATAAGTTTTTACTTTTTCGACATTCTGTCTTCTTCTAAAATGACTGATTGTCTAATTTTTCTAATTTTATTTCAAAGTACCAAATTAATGGTCATGATGTACGTATTGCAGTAATTTTAAAATTTTGTGCCAAAAATAGGTAGGTACTTATCCTCTTTTTATCGCAACTAAATTTTAAGATATATTGAAGATAAACTCATTACAGTTCTATGTAGATAATCAGGTAAATATGAGTTGATTAGTAGGAATTTGGAGATATCACCACCAAATCAAAATTTAACTGAACAATTATTTAGATAAGCAAATTAGCTATTTTTTTATTATAATGTATCATTTATCACTTTTTCGCCATGCCATCTACCTAATATTCAAAATCTTTAGTTACCTGGAATAATCATTTATGAGATTAAACTGTTTTTCCGCATTGAGTTCCAAATATTTTTAACTGTTCTGCAAACGTAAGGCAAAATTTAAACACCGTGGTCTTTATAAATTTAGCATGGAAAATATTACTACCCCTTGCTATACCCATTTATAGGAATTTGGTATACAGGCTGTCCCAGAATAACGTGTACAACAGAAGACCACAGATTCGTGGACTTAAAATAGGCAGATTTAGGTTAATTCACTTATATCCGAAATCGCTTCGTTTAGCCGCTAGATAGCCTCAAAGTTCGTGAAGTTTTATTGCATTTTGTAAATTACTCGAATATGTATTAATCAATTTTGATTATTTTTGGGGTGTGGACTTTTGCTTTCAATCTACAAATTATGGTGTTATACAGAGTGTTTTTTAAAACTCACAACTCCTACAAAATTGATGTATGGTGATAATAACCGTTCATAACCTTTTCCTCTTTCGGGCAATAATTTTTATTTGATAGGTGATACCATTTGGAAGTATTTGGGCCTCTTATAGAATTTTGATTAAATGAGTGACATATATCACAATACTTGCTAGTAGTCATGATTTTGTAGGTTGACTGTAATTTCAGTTTGATCTTTAAGTCATTGTATCTGCCAATTCTTAATGAGTGTTTACTTTGATAAGATATACCACACGTTACTTAATTTTTCGATATGGATACACACATACGACGAATTAGTTATTTACAACGTACCTAATTTTATTGAAATAATTCGTAAAAACAATCAAAGACAATAAAAAATGCTGGAGATAAAAGTAACACAGTTGAGGTTATTAAATTTATTATACAACTTATTATAAAAACTGTTCAAAATGACTACAACAAAAGTTAATGCGGAGAAGAAAGTTAAATGACACCTTTTGCAGTTCTTAGAAACTATTTTTTTAAACATTTATGGTATTTTGGATATGCCTCCACAACTCTTCTTCCGTGTTAGATGTGAAGCATGTACTATTGTTTTCAGAGTGCCCCAAAGATAATAGTCGCAAGATGTTAAGTCTAGTGAACAGGCCAGTTAACAGAAACATTATACCTCTGCCGATTCATCGACGAGGGAATCTTTGGTTCAGATACTGCCGGACATTTACAGTGAAATGTGGTGGAGCGCCATCATGCATAAACCACATGTTAGCTCTGAGTAATGGCGGCACATTTTTCAATAACTCGGGTTTTGTAAAAATTCTAAATAAATTTCTCCATTCAGTCTATTGGGTAGAATAACAGAGCCCATAACATTGCTATAAATGATCCCAGACCAAACATTGATGCAAAGTTCATGCTGATAATGTTATCTTTCACTTTGTTGCATTTGGATTTTCTTGAGCATACACAAGTTCATTGTGAATATTTATTATCCCCCTTCTAGTAAAACAGAATTCGCAGGTACAATGATTTAGGCCCAAATTCATAGATCTCACTAAAGTTCCACTCACACTTATCTCATACTCAACTCACCCTAATCGTATTCATAAACAATTCTACTTCAATGAGTCACTTAAATCATACTCAAATTGTCCTCACAAATGAGTACTGGGTGAGTGACATATTAGTGATGTTTGACATTTGCTTAAATGTCCCTAATTTATTAATTTTGTGGTTTCATAATAGTATAGCAGTATATTTTACAAACAATTAAGTCAAGGTATTCAATAAAGGATATTCTATACGTGAACGATATATAAATTATAATTATTTTTTAAAAATTAGTTCTGTTACATACATACATATCCTGTAAGATCGAAGACAATTTTTGGGAATTTTTCAATTATGTTGAAGATGTTGATGGTTTTTTACCTGTACCTAGGTAAGTAACTAAAAGTGTTTACCTATTGTAATTAGCAGTAATACTAATATTTCCATTTTATTTTCAGAATTTTATTGAGAGATAATTCTAATCCTTTTGAAAGATACACTAACAGTGAATTGATACAACTTATTAGATTCTCAAGAGATACTATAGAAACTACAGTATTTCCAATGGTTTATCATAACATTAGAGGTGGTGATAATCGTGGACTACCAGTTCCCCCTGCATTAAAGTTGTATGTGGCATTGCGGTTTTTTCAACAGGGTCTTATCAGGTATTGATGACTCTTATTATTATTCATATCTTGATTTAAATGTAATTTAATTTCTTTTCAGCAAGTTTATGCTGATGTAGCCACAGTCAGTCAGTCCTCGGTCTGCAGAATTGTCCGAGAAATTAGCGAGGAAATTGCAAGAAGTTTACCAAGACTTATTAAATTTCCAGCCCACACGGAAATATTGAAACGACAATTTTTTGAAATTGCGGGGTTTCCTAGATAATTAATTAGACTTTAATTTGATCTTGATTATTTATTATTTAAATGTAACTTATTATGTACCTATATATTTTCAACATTCAAATTCAAAATAAAGAAAAATGTGACATTAGGTTTTCATTGATGTTATTATATTTTTGGTAATATTTGGGTAGCCAACTGTTCCCTTATCTAGTAATTTGTGGTTTGATGCACACTTAAGTTAGTCACTCATTTAGACACATTTATGAATATTAGAATTGAGAATGAGATGAGGGCACCCTAAGTTGAGTGGAGAATAAGTTTGATATGAGTGAAAGGTTAGTATAGATTTAGGGAAGTCTCTGAATTTGGCCCTTAAAGATCAAACTGAAATTACAGTGAATCTACAAAATCAGAGCCTACTGGCACTTTGTTAAATATTGTAGTATGGGTGGCAAGATAATGTATATTTTTAAAAAATATTTTTTGTACCCAAACCGCTCATTTAATCAAAATTTTACAGGAGGCCGAAAAACTTCCAAATGATATCACCTATCAAATAAAAAATAGTTGTCATTATTGCCCGAAAGAGGAAAAAGTTATGAACGTATATTCTCACCATACATCAATTTTGTAGGATTTGTAAGTTTTAAAAAACACAGCAAATAGGATTAACATGAATCATACCAGGCACATATAGTTCTTTTCATATATATTGTAGAAATAAAAAACTCTTTTATATTGCCGATAACGACAAAAACGGGGTCGTAAATACTTGTCTGCCTAGCAGAACAGGGTCGTATTTAGGCAAACTTTACAGAATATAATATTTAAGTCTCCCTTCAAACAATTCACAACAGGCACTACTACACAATGGTTATAAATTGAAGACAATTGTAGTGAATTACAAAAGTTATCCAATAAAAAACTTGTAATAAAATAAAAATCACTACTCAAAACTATTCTAAGAAATAAGAATGACGCATTGCAGCACCAACTCCTGCCCTGTACCGCGCAAACTGTCAGAAATTTAAAGTAATAAGTGCACCGTGTCTAATTGTTGATTGTCTCTGTCTCATATTAGGAATTTGAGAACAACGTACGTCTTAGAGACATGTGCAGAATCTGTTCTGTTGCCAACCCAGCTGTGTTGCCAAATATTTTGGCGAGTTAGTATTGTACTAAAAATAAACAACATACATTGCAAAAATGAAGTGAATAATGCAATTATTATTTAAATAAATGTATGCAAATTCAGCATATTCTTATATTTTCAGAACATAACTTAATATTTTAAACGTAAATATCTGAATAAATTAATTTAATTCAATTTATCAATTATTCATTTAGGGAATATTATTACATATCGGCAACACAGGGCCCACGTCCGGCGATTCAAGATCCCGCCTATCTAGGATAAAGCGGAGCAACCTTTAAATTGAATACCTGACTTAATATGTAATTATTGATTAATATCACTTTATTTCTCATTAATTTTGTATTCAATTTATCTAGATGAGTATTCCTGATAAGAGCATTATGATTTGTGAAATAAATTAGCTGTTATAATATTTATTTTCTACGGACATTTAAAAATTGTCTTGCCCTACTCTCCCCCTACCACACTTACCGGCAGATAATTTTTTTATGTCTACTATAAGTATGAAAAGAACTGTACCTATTTTTAAAATGTGATTGGTGGTAGGTGATATTTTATTTATTAGCTACGCTACTGACCACTGAGCGTACAATGCAAACGATTGCTATCTTGTTCTACTGCATATTGATAAAGCAAAATGATATAATCTAATACCAGTTACTGTAGTATTAAGAAATTTGATAAAAGTCATCGATAAAAAAAATTTTAAATTATCGCAACATTGAATCTAGTTTAGTCTCCCATTTGATTTAGTAATGTAATTATTATGCAATAGAATTAAATATTTGTTGTTAGTGTTTTTAGATTCCTTTACTCATAATTAGGCCAGGTAAATATTTGTTATTCTTATTGACATAATTTTTGTAGTACATTGTTTTTTGCATTAATGAATTTTAAAAACTTTTCAACTATATTGTTATCAATCTTGTAAATAATAATATCAAAGAAATCAAAATTATTATTATTCGCATATTGTAAATATTTTTATGTAAATTATTATTTAATTAAAGTATTAAATTAATGAAAAAATGTAATTAATATCTGACTTAAATAGACTATATTTCGGATTTGCAGAAATTCAAATATCTATGGGCAAAGACAGAAATATTCTTTTTTCTTTTCATTTTTAAAAATTTAAATGCCTATAAATATTAATAAAACATTTAAATTTGTACATTAATGGCAATCATTTAATTATGTATAACTAATTATACGTTTAACAATTTAATTACTAATATTTAGTAATATATATTGTGTGTTATAATCAATCGATTAATAAATTAATGTTCGAAATAGTTTAGAGATTACTAATTACCAATACCAGTATTTTAAATTTTATATTGAAATTTATCCCTAGGTGGTCCAAATGGAACGCAAGATTTCATATGAGGAAAAAATATTTTATTAATTAAAAAGTTGACAAAGTTTTTACATGTTTTTAGAGGGTAGACATTGCTATTAAATATGAAAGAAGATATCGGACAGATATCCTCCGCGACTCATTTGGTATAGTCGACTTCTTTTAAGAAAATTATATATAACGCTTTCGAACACCTGCTGCCGAATTTCTTTGATAACTCCGAATTTCTGCCTTCAATTCAGGAATGGTATTCATTTGAGCAGAATAAACTTTGGACTTTACGAGCCCCCCCCCAGAAAAAAGTAACATGGCGGCGTAAGATCGCATGGTTTTGGTGGCCAAGTCACTTCATTGTTACGTGGTATGAGTCATCAATTAAATTTCTGCCGTAACAAGTGGATACTTTCATGCGACGTGTGGCAGGTGGCACCATCCTGCTGTAACCACATGACATCCAAATCCATGCCATCCAAATGAAGCCACAAAAAGTTCAATAGCATGTCTGGATATCGTTCTCCATTGACAGTCACTGCGTTTCCAGCTTTATTAAAAAAAAAAACGAACGAATATCACCGTCTACTTTTTGATTCTCCAACATCCAATCAACGAATATCCAGCGTATGTCGTCTGGTTTCAGTTCATGGGTTAGCTGAGTCTTGATGGATGCAGATGCAGATCTTTTGATAAAATCCGCTGCATTGTGCTTTTTAAAATGTTCACTTGCAGTAAACGACAACGAACTGGGGTTACGGGAATTTCCGCCACACTATCACTTACCGCAACAATATTTTCGGCTGAACGGCCGCTACAAGGTCAGACTGTTTTTTATTCCTGCAACCGAACCTATTTATTCAGATTTGGCAACTATTCTTTTCACAAATGTTTCATTCGGGGCGTTCATTCTACCAAAAATTCCACATAATTTACGCATAGTCTCAGCTACACACACTCCGTACTTGTAATTAATTTTCACAATCTTCACTCGCTTATTCGTAGTATAGCGCTCAATTTTGTCTAGCCGCAACGTGTTTACAACATGTGACCCTGCATAATGCTGTCAACTCTTCGTAATGAAAATAGCCCATAATTCAAATACTGCATTACTTTTGGGACACCCTTTATAATGATTGTGACAAGTAAAAGATGATTTATGTTTGAAATGTTCAAAAACAAAGGCCACTGAAAACTTTTTTTGGTTTAACACAATTTAAGATAGTTAGTGATTAAAATTGACTAGATCTTCACTAATTGCCAACCTAAATTATGACCCGTTAATATTCTATAACGCCCTATACAATATTGCAAATTTTCTATACTTCTTGTTTTTTATTCCTTATTGTCGAAGACAAGAGTAAACAGATAATAAATTTATTTCATTAAAAATGAGTTAAAATGCCAGCAGACAGATTTATCTTAATAAGATAGACTACAGACCCGTGTCAAAAATTGATGGGTCATTTGAATCACCAGGAGACCTATTTAGAAAGATACAAGGGCATAAAATAATAAGATTCAGCACTATGCCGTCACTTGTAAGCTGTCCAACTGAGTGCAGGTGAGAATTCAAAAGCACAGGTAGAGGGAGTAAATGTTGGTCATATATTTTTGTACGGCATTCTTACCATCGATAGATCCATGAAAAATAATAAGAAAACACGTAGTGCCGTACAAAAATAGTGCGCTACAAAGTCGGAAAAAGTTTTGATTTTCTGGCGATTTTCAGGATAAATTTGGTCATTTGATCCTGTACGGCATCGGTTCCACACAATTTCAATACCTCTTCTAATCCATTATTCCGCAACGCCGTACAAAAATCATGGGACAAAGGAGAAAAATCGAGGGTTGCAATCCCCAATTTTTGACACGGGCCTGTAGTCTAAGACGCTTACAACTAAAATTCTGAATTAACTTGTTTGGTTTGAACAATCAAGCTCTTATATTTTATTGGAAAAGACAAAGTACACTTCTACAAACATACAAACCCCAGCAATTTCTAAATGAATTGTGATACCTGATTGAAATTATCTATTTCAAAAATATTTTTCATGTATACAAGGTGAATCAAACGATCACCATGATATCTGGAAAGCAGTAGGTACACATTGTCGATTAATTTACAAAAATTTTATTAAAACTTCTTTTTTTGTAGTAACTTCATAACTATAAATATTAGAACTTTTAAAATTTTGACTATTACGTAATTAACATCTATCGAACGGTTGCCTTTGGTAGATGATGATTGTGAATTGCGGTGGAAGAAGGATAAAAATTTTTAAATAAAACATTGCTTTTGGCAAAATTCATAAAATATATTTTCAGGTTCAAATAACAAAAAAAAGTCTGTAGGTAGACAAAATGTTAATACTATTTAAAATATTAATTTTTTAACTGTTTAGGGTAGATACATGATCAAAACTTTTGTTTTTAGTTATACTTGTTTATAGTAAATTATTTTCTAAGGTTAAGATGTTGCATCGATCAACAGTTTGAGAGTAGATATTTCCTTGACTTATATTATATACAATTAACCTTATGTTCTGTTTCTGTTTTAATTTGTATGTCACGACATTGCTTAATTCTCGTTTTTGTAGTAATTTATTATAGTTAAAAGAATGGAATAACCATCACTTATATTTCGTTGAAATTGTGTTGAACTGATTTTGTACATGTATTATGATGACGCAGGATAAATCCAAATTAAATACACAATTATTCTTCATTGCACGTCAGCTGTTGATGTTTATACCTTTAAGACATCTATTAATGGAGCGGAGCAAAAAAAACGGGGAAATCCCACTTTTCAGTATAAGATGTATTTAAAAAATTAACCATAGCCATATATAACAAAATATAACAGAATATGAACAAATGTTTAAGAATCAAAGTAAGCGGCGCGTCATCAAAGTGTATTTTTTATCAGATTTTTTATTAATGATGAAATAATTAAACAAATTTTTGATTTTAATATAATATCCTCCCAATAGCAGTGGCGTGGATACGGGTAGTTCCAGGGATGTAACTGAAGGACAAATATTCTTAAACATCCTAAGGCTTTGCAAACCCCAAAGGATAATACAAAAAATGGTATACTAGTTGAAAATCTCTGGGATACACATACTTCGAGAAAAACGAAGGTGAAGCTTGTTGTTCACATAAAAAGGCAAATGTAAATTTAAATATATAAAACAGTGTGTTACTATGGTATCATTATAATTTGACAACATAAATATGAATTCACAAGATCTAAAACAATGAAATTGTAAATATCTTTATTAATTTAAAACAAATTAAAATTATTGTCCAAGAGAAGGTAGGAAAAGAAGGATCTTGCTATTGATGCTACTGAATCTGATGGAGTACTAATAAATAATTAATATGACACTGCACATCTGTTTTCAGAGTTCTATGCAAAAAAACGCAAAATATGTGCTAAGTGGGCATTTTAAAATTGGCAATATATAACATTAAACTAACATTTTGCAGCAATAAATGTTAATATATAACAAATTTTGATACCTACAATATTGATATCTTTTCAAGTAAATTCATTTAATCTAGTTTGCTTGGTACAATTATTCACAACCAGGATGAATACCAATAAAAACACGTAACGATCTGGATATGTGGCAGAACAAATTCAACTAATCTAAAGACGTAAAACGCACATATGTAACGAAATCTTAATATACATGTCAGTAGGTATAGCGTCGGTTTAGACTGGGAAAATTTCGGGGACCGTGGGAAAGTCGGGGCCCTTTGTCGGCGTCCTTTGGTCCTTTGTCGGCGTCCTTTGTCGGCATAGATCAAAGGTTGGCGCCGCATAGGTGTTAATTGGATTTATACAGGTGTGTCCTTGGTGAATATACAGGGGGTCCCAGNGTAAATTTAAATATATAAAACAGTGTGTTACTATGGTATCATTATAATTTGACAACGTAAATATGAATTCACAAGATATAAAACAATGAAATTGTAAATAGCTTTATTAATTTAAAACAAATTAAAATTATTGTCCAAGGGAAGGTAGGAAAAGAAGGATCTTGCTATTGATGCTACTGAATCTGATGGAGTACTAATAAATAATTAATAGGACACTGCACATCTGTTTTCAGAATTCTATGTAAAAAACGCAAAATATGTGCTAAGTGGGCATTTTAAAATTGGCAATATATAACATTAAACTAACATTTTGCAGCAATAAATGTTAATATATAAGAAATTTTGATACCTACAATATTGATATCTTTTCAAGTAAATTCATTTAATCTAGTTTGCTTGGTACAATTATTCACAACCAGGATGAATACCAATAAAAACACGTAATGTATCTGGATATGTAGCAGAACAAATTTAACTAATCTAAAGACGTAAAACGCACATATGTAACGAGAAAATCTTAATATACATGTCAATGCGGTTAATTCCAAGAAAGTGACATAGTAACTTGTAACTCTATCATGAAATATCGT